GCGGGGCCCGCAGGTTCTGTGGGATGGCGCAGTTCCCCGGCGGCGTGCGGAGGAAGGTCCTGCTGCAGCTGCTGCTCCTGCTCTGCCACCCGTTCCCCGTGGTGAGTGTGTGTGACCAGCAGCCCACCCTCGGGGTTTCCCAGGGACGTGCGGCTGCGTGTTCTGCTCGCTGGTGCCGGTGTCGCTGGTGCCAGTGTCGCTGGTGCTGGTGTCGTGGGTGCTGGGGCGAGCGGCCACAGAGCGGGCCCTGGTCCAGGTGGGACGCTGCCTCACTCCGCCTCCTGAGACAGCAGGGGGCGTGTGGTGGGGTGTCCTCCGCTGTGTGGACCCTCAAGTCTCAGGAGCAGCAGCTGCCGTGTGACTTTCACGGTCTTTCTGGGGGGAGGGTTCTGCCCTTGACGGGCAGCAGGTGATGCACAGTGAGGCCCTACCCCCCACACCTACCCCCGACTGTCCCCCCAGGAGGCCCTGGGCAGGGGGTCCTGGAGCTCCGCACACCGAGTGATGCCTTCACCCAGAACTGCCCACTGCAGGGTCAGGCTTCCTAGAAATCCCTGCCTTTGGCTGAAAGGATGCTCTTCAGGGAACCCACACGTCACCTTTTCCTAAGGGTGAAAGCCCGCACCTCCAGCAGCACCCGTCAGAAAGGCAGGTCTCGGGCCACCGGCCTGCTGGCTTACACCCTGGGGTGGCCCGGGATTGGCGCCCCGGCTCTGAAATGTCCCCACGGGCGTCCTAGGGCAGCAACAGGTGAGACGTGTCCCTGTGAGGGCAGGTCTCTCAGGAGGCACGTCGCCTAGAACGCGGCCGGCCTGTCAGGCTCCGGAGGGACCGCAGGGGCCGGGGGCCTCGTGCTGTCGTGGGGACGCGTGCGGTCACGGCCACGTCTCCCCAGTTAGGACCGAGGTCAGCACGTCCTTCAGGCTTCAGTCAGACTCCGGGGTCCCCCTCTCACTAATGCTCTGTCCAACCAGATCCGCAAGACGACAGCGAGCCAGGTGTACGAGATGCTGCTCACCTACAGCGGCGTGGTGGGCGCGGACGTCCTGGACGAGGTCATGGCTGTGCTCAGCGACACCGCTTGGTGAGTGCTCGGCTCCTCCCCTTCTCAGGACGCGGGTCGTGCCAACCTCCCTTCCTGACCCCCCGTCTCTCCCCAAAGCCCCCGAAGGGAAAGGGAACGGGAAAAGCGAGGCTCCCAGCCCTCGACGGCCTTGGCTCTGGGTTTGAGGCGGCCGTGGTGGCGGCTGTAACAGGCTTCTCCCCGCTTGTCCAGCTCAGGCTCTCCCCTCACACCCAGAGGGCTGTGCCCGCCACACGCGGAGCAGCAGGGTGCCTCCCGGCTGCTCAGGGGCGACATTTTCAAAGTGAAATTATTTTTCTCACGTGCAAATTTTTAAAAAGTCCTTATTGTTGAAAGTATTGCTATATATGTCCCCTTTCCCCCCATTGACCGCCTCTAGCACCTTCCCCCACACTCCCCTCCCCACCAAGTGCAATGTTTTCTTAAGTGAAATGGGCAAATGTTTTTGCTTCTCGTTGGGCGCGATGGGCACTGGTGCCCCCGGCCTGCTGCACGGGGCCTGGGCTCCTGCCCAAGCTGCAGTGTCAGGCGCAGCGGGGTGCAGTGTGGGAGGCTCGTCGGATGCGAGGATGTGCTGTGTCGTGTGGCGTGGCTGCAGCGGGGGCTGCCTCTGTGTTGGGCAGAGGGGGAAGATTCTTCCCTATAATTTAATCCCTTTCTGTTTAAGAAAAAAATTCCCCAGCCCGGCCAGCGTGGCTCAGAGGCTGAGCGTCGACCTATCTATAAACCAGGAGGTCAGGGTTCGATTCCCGGTCGGGGGCACATGTCCGAGTTGCGGGCTCGATCCCCAGTGGTGAGTGTGCAGGAGGCAGCCGATCAATGATTCTCTCTCATCGTTGATGTTTCTATCATGTCTCCCTCTCCCTTCCCTTTTCTCTAAAAATCAATAAAAGCATATTTTAAAAAATAAAAACTAAGGTTTGTGGCAGGTTTGGCTAAAGCGAGTGGGCCTTTCTTGCAGCTGAAGCCAACCTCTCCTCTCCCCACAGGGACTTGGAGCTCCTGCTCGTAAGAGGCCATCGGAACCGCCTGTGTGACCTCCTCGGGGTGCCCAGACCTCAGCTGGTCCCCAAGGTAACTGCACGTCCCCCTCGGGCAGCGCCAGGGACACCCGGGGTCCTTTCCGGGCCAGGCCTCCCAACAGCTCCGACGAGCTACTGTCCTGAGCTCCAGCCTAGACACCTGGGTCCTCCTGGCTTTCAGGACCCTGGAGGGCAGCACCCACATGGCAGTCCCCCCGGGAGCCTGGTGCAGGTGCAGGGCAGGTGCGGATCTGTCAGCCCCCCGGGGACTCGGGCAGAGGTGGCAGGAGGAGCGTGGTGACACTCCTCTCTCCTTGTGTACAGGCCACGCAGTACCAGCTTCCCGAGTAAATGTGCTTTTTCGTTTTTATTAGGAAAATTTTGCACTCAGATGGGTGTGGTCAGGGAGCACAGGTGTCAGCTCCTGGGATGTCGGGGGAAACCCCCAACTCGGTTTCCTGTGGGAAAAGCAGGGCCCAGAGGGGCGGGCGATGGTGCTGGCCGTCCTGACTGACCCTGTCGTGTGCTCTGCAGCCTGCTGTCCGCTGAGGCCAGTCCTGGGAGCCGAGGAGCGCTTGTGCCGTCTGCTGGGAGGAGCCGCCAGATGCCGCTCAGGACAGGGAGCCTGGTGCAGGGCCCCGGCCCTGGCTGAAACGTGTGCGGAGGAGTTCGTCACCACAGAGGCTCTTTATTACGGGCGTCTGCGCTCTAGTGACCGTGTCGGTGCTTTTGTCTGTTTAAACGCGAGTCCACGTCTTATAAAATCACGTGCTAAGCGGTCTATGTCTGTCTGACACTGTTGTGAGCGAGGGTGATGGGGGGGCAGCCTAATGGGGGCGTAAACTGGAGGCCGGCGAGAGTCCTAGGCTCCCTCCTGCTCTGCCTGCCCACCTGAGTCTAGGTGAGGGGTCTGGAGGGAATCCCCGGCTCTCACAACCTACCCTGTAGCCAGAAGCGGGCGAGAGCAAATGATCACACGTGTGCACCTGAGGGCTGGGAAGCAAGAGAAGCTGGGACCCTCTGCACGAGGGGGAATGACCAAGGCCTCCTCCCAGAAAGGCGCGGCCACAGCATCCCCGTCTCAGGCTCCACCTGGTGCTGGGGTGGAGGGAGGAACGCTCCCCTGGCCACTCACAGCTCGAACATGAGCCCCAGACAAGGGCAGATGAGCAAAACCCACTACCCCTCTGAGAAGGCTGGCTGGTCCCCACAGAGAGAATTTAAAATGTAAGCTCACATTCCAGAAATTTTTAGAATCAAACCCCAAAAGATACGAAATATAAAATGAGTTTATCAAGAAGAGTTTAAAGACAAAATGCTCCATGGATTAAACAACCTCGTGGACACGGCTGAGGAGAGAATGCGGACAGGAAGACCTGCAGACACTGTCGGGAAGAACAGCTGGGAAACATGTAGGCAGAGTCAGGAGACCCTGAGAGGAGGGACCTGTGTCCCGGGGGCTGGGATGCGGACCGTGCAGGCGCCCACACTTGTTGGGAGGCAGCCGTCCTCGATGCAGAGGCCCAGCGGTCCACACAGGACGGGCTCCCCCGTGAGCTGCTGTGCACACGGCGGTGCCCCTGCTGCCCGAGTCCCAGCAGCCGAGGATTCGAGAGGCTGGATCAGCTCGCCCTGGTGCTGAGACTCCGTGGCAGGACTGAGCGCCTAGTGGAAGGGATTCAAGAAAGAGAGCAGTCAAGCCATAGGTAGGACGGGCTCTCCAGCCTGTGGCTGGTTTTTCACTGTTGACATCGGGGCTGGATGGTTCTTTGTTGTGGGGACAGTCCTGTGCAAACCCCTTTCCAGGTGTGATGACAAGCTGTCTCCTTGTGGATGGACGTCAGCAGCAGGAAAGGGTTGAGCGGAAGGTCTCAGACGTGAGGAGGAACGCGGGACCAGGAGACCCCACATTTAGGGAAAAGCTCTTTGGGATTTGTTCTCCTGGCCTGGGTGGGGCCACTGGGAGGGGTGGGGTCCTAGGACTGGGAGGCTGGACGCAGACGATGCCAGACCAGCCATCCAACCTCAGCTCCTGCCCAGTGCCGGCAGCAGCCCGTCCATCCCCGGAAGTGGGCAGTACGTGCCAGCTCCCCTAATTTTTGCTCCATTTCCAACTGAGACCAGTGGAAACCAATGTGCTCCCCTTCCCGCCACAGCCCCCGGCAGGCCCTGAGCCCCTTGCCCTCTGCTGCCTGATGCCCCACCACCGGGCGCTGAGCACAGCTGTTCTCGCCGGGCGGTCTGACTCGCACCCATCTCCTGAGGTCAAGCGCAGTAGCTGCACCCCAGGGTGCTCACTTTGACAGATGAGCGCACGTCCACCCAGACGGCGCCAGATGGCAGTGCCCACACGCAGGCACTCCACGTGGCGAATGTTCTCCGAAGAGGCCATGGTGTGTGGGCACGTGTCAGGTGCCCAGTGAGGGTGTGGATCCTACCCAATCAGAACACACCCCTCCTGCCCCCCCTGCCAAGTGAAGGTCTCCCACGCGGGGCCTGCCATTCCCACACGGCCACATGGCTGTCCTTCCCGAAGGCCCCTGATCCCTTGTCACCTGCAGGACTCCATGGCTGCTGTGGCCTTTCAGCTGAAGTGAAGGAAGTCCCGGCCCTCCTGCAGGTGCAGCGACCTCAGGTTGTCCTCAAATGCACCCCCAGTAAGGTCCTGTGGGAGGAACAGCAGGTGGAGCCCCCACAGAGCCTCCCTCCGGGGTTCAGGCCCCCTGTGGCCACCTGTCAGGAGGTCTACTCTGAACTTGTGCTGCACTGTTGGGGGTCGGGGGGCAGGACAGGAAACAGAAAGCAAGAGGCCACATCGCCTATAGGATGGGTCACATGGGAGGTTGGGGTCCTGAGAGACAGCCCCTCCCTAAGAAGGCAGCTGACCCCCACTGCAGGGACTCAGGGACAGTCCCTTCTCACCCCTTTGTCCAGGGCAGAACCAGGAGCCCCCATCCACCTCTTCTGCAGGGGACACAAGTGGGAGGTGGCCCCTGGGGACAAACTGCCACTCACCCAGCTGCTGACGAATCCCCCTGCCTCCCGCTCTGCCTGTCCCTGCAGCAGAGAGGGCCAGGACCCTGCAAGGAGGGTCAGGACCCAGGAGGCTGGCTCTGTCCGGAACTTGCATGTGATCCTACAAGGTCACAGGTTACCCCAGGGGCGGGCAGTACTTGGGGGGCAGGTTCCTAAATGCTTCAGCGTGGCCTGTTCAGGAATGCTGGCTTTGGCCAGGCCACGTAACCCCAGCCCCAGCCCTGGCCCTGATCCCTATCCCCAAGCCCTCTTGCCCCCGGGGTCTCCCAGGCCTGTCTCTCATCCCAGACCCCTGCTGCCTCCATAGCCTGGCTCCCAAAGACACAGCCGGCACACCCGTGGGTCCCTGGCCTCGGGCAGACGCGACAGGGACGGTGCTGCTTGGTTACCACGTTCGTTCCCCTTGGTGTCACACGCGGGTCAGGCCCAGCGCGGGAATCGGCCTGGCTATGCCCACCTGGGCCGTCATGCTCCTCCTCCTCCTGCGACTACTGGGCGCTGCTACACGTATTTAAATGACAACCACTCTGATTCTCTCATCATTGATGTTTCTCTCTCTCCCTCTCTGAAATCAATAAAAGTATATTTTAAAAATAAATGAAAACCACTCTACTTGGAAAACATCTGAAATGTCCAGATCCTGTCCTCCACTTGCTGTCCATGCTCAAACCCCCCCTCTTCCGTTCCCGTGCTGCTCCTGAGATGTTACAGGAAAACTGGGCTCCGCCTGAGTGTGGCCCAGGGGTCGTGGGCAAGGCTGCCAGCCCTGGGCCTGCAGAGGGGCCAGCGGGGAGGCAGGCCTGCTCCAGACTGGAAGGGCCTCCTGAACAAGACTCCGGTGCAGTTGGACGCTTCCATCAGTTGACCTAGCCCGTTAACAGCATGAAAAGGCCAGCCCAGCCAGCATGGCTCAGTGCTTGAGCGTCGACCTATGAACCAGGAGGTCAGGGTTCAATTCCCGGTCAGGGCACATGCTGAGGACGTGGGCTCGACCCCCAGTGTGGGGTGTGCAGGATGCAGCCGGTCAATGGTTCTCTCATCATTGATGTTTCTCCCTTCCTCTTTGAAATCAGTAAAAAATATATATTTTTTAAAAATGAAAAGGCCAGACAAGCCAGCAAAGGGTGATGACCCAGCAGGTATGGATGGCGTCGACGCTGTCGGGAGGCACCCAGTCCCACAGGTAAAGGGGAGAAGCTGCTTAGAAACCACAGGAGAGGGACCCACATGCCCAGTCAGTACAGGAAGGGGCTCAGGCTCATGGTGTCCTGAGCAAGAACGTGCATCTTAAAACCAGTGAGAGCACCGCACCCCCATCTGGGGAACTGGCTCTGGGCATCCCCTGGCCTGGCCACTTTGTGGGCATCAGGCTGTCCTCCCAGCACAGCCTGGGAGCCAGCTCCTAAAGGCTGAGCCGCCTGGTGATCCAGGGTGTGTCCCAGCCCCACGTGCCCCACAGCCCAGCACTCACCAGCTTCACACAGATGACGAAGGGCGGGCGGGCGGCTCGGAAGTGCAGGATGGGCACCCGGGGCTTGGGCTTTTCCTGAGACAAGAGGGCGTGGGCGTCGCTCCTTCTGTCACCTGAGCCCTGTACCACTCCCAACTGCACAGCGCAGGCTAGACCCGGGACCCAGCCACCCCTGCCCAGCCACCTCACAGCCGCCGCGGAACCCACCCAGGTGGGCGGTGGGAGACCTGGACCTGTGAGCAGGGCTCTCCAGTGAAAAGATGGGGTGGGCACAGGTTACACTGGGACCCCCCAACACCCCGCCCCAGGAGTCTGGGGGCTGTGTCTGCAGCTGCCTGGGCCCAGGTGGCCTGTCCAGGATGGCGTCTTAGAGGTGGACCAGGCGTAGTGTGGTGACCCGTGCAGGACCCAGCCCCCAGCTCAGGGGCGCCAGGGGCCTCCACACCTGAGAGTCCTCGTAGCAGTAAAAGCCCTTCTTGATCTTGTTCTCGTCTACGTCGCAGAAGGCAACCACCTGCGGAGGACATAGGACGCCAGCCTTGGGCA